TTCAGCTCAAGGCTAGAGCTCTACCACTTGAGCCACAGCGCCACTTCCAGCTTTTTTCTTTTTGCTTATGTGGTGCTGAGGAATCGAACCCAGGGCCTCACGCATGCAAGGCAAGCGCTCTACCACTGAGCCACCTTCCCAGCCCTCTAGAACTATTATTTATTAAACTCTTCCCTCATCCCAGCTTATCACCCAGGACATTCTGCAGATGTGAGTAGGCAGGTAGGAAAGGATGGAGATGGAGAACTTAAGGCTGTTGGTGCTGGGGAAAGGAGGTAGTCAAGGTTCACAGGTTAGCCTGGAATTGTTATGCTCTTACCTCATCCAATATCACATAGGCACGGTCATGGACTCCATTATTTGGCACCCAGAATGGTGTTGGTTCAGAAACGGTGTAAGGCAGATAGGTCCGGTACAACATAAAGCCATGGTCCTGGGTATGGAAGAATGGTTACTTTAAGATGGACTGAGGGTAAGATTAACAGCTGATGACAATTTGGACAATAGCTGTTGAGAGAATGCCTGCCATCCCACCAGTTTACCCCTTACCTGCTTGACAGCCTCAAATGTCAGTGGGAAAAATGAGTTGATGGGTCCCTTGGGACAGAGAAAGTCTAGGAAAGCCAGCAAATTCCCATCCTATCAGATTAAGGGAGAAAAATAAGAATCTAAGAGGGAAGCTTCTAGATAGGAGGGTAGGGCAAATAAAGGAATAGAATCTGAAAATGGGTAGCACTTACCAAGTGCAGAGTCAAAGGTCCAAGCATCATCTTGGGGCCAGGAGGAGGTAAAGGTCCCAAGGGAACTTCCTGGAACTGAGCCCAAATTCTCTCAGGAGCCAGTAGTGAAACCAGAGGTAACCCCTATTCCAAGGCCCTAGAAGGTTCTGAACCCAGGACCCAGAGAAGGGCTTCAGGGGGTCATGAAGACCCGGTAATTTTGCACTCGTGTGTAACTCCCCAGGTATTCCCCTTGAGAATGGTCCACAGAGGGCTCTGTGGTCCAGACAACCACCACCACCAGTTTAGAGGATCCTTTTACAGCGTGGGCACTACCTTCTTCCAAATAAATAAAAGGGCACCTTGCTGATGACATTTCGAATAGCAAAAAACTTAGGTGTGGGGTCTCCTGCTTCAGATATGGGTGCATCGTAGTCATAGCTGGTAGTAATTGGAAGGAAGCGTCCCTTGTCATCGGCACCTGGGGTTGAACCAATTTAATTAACTCATCTCACTAAGCAAACAACCTTATGCAGGGAATTTTCCCATCAGTGGGGGCAGTGGTAGCCATGTGCAGCTTCCAGGTATCAGACTACATATAGATACTAATTCCTTGTCACCTCCCTACATCCGCCCCAGGGACCACTTGTACTTACCATTCCAATATCCGAAGTTGGTACCTCCATGAAACATGTACCTGAAGTAAGGAAGGTGGGGAGGAAAGAGAAAAGCTGACCATTGAATCTTAACTCTTTTTTTCCCACTTTTTGTTGCTCATGGGGCTTGAACTCAGAATCTGGGTGCTATCCCTTAGCTCTTTTGCTCAAGGCTAGCAGTCTACCACTTTGAGCTACAGATAAGAGTCTCATGGACTTTCCTGCCCGAGTTGACTTTTGAACTATTCTCTGATCTCAGCTTCCTGAATAGCTAGAATTACAGGCGTGAGCTACCAAGCGCCTAGCTTAAATCTTAACTTTTATTCCCAGCTCCCCATAACAGATTCATATTGCGTCTCCAGTTACATGTTCACACTGGCTCCCAACTTGAGCATGTTTTCCAGTCCTTTAGTTACAGATGAAATTGACCGTGTGGAGTGGTTCTGGCCCCAGTAATCCAGCCAACCTGTGTAGTACTCAGAGTTCACCTAGAATGTGAAGTGAAAGGATTGAGTGAAGTGGACATCAGGCTAGACACATTCCCACCAGACTCTTGCTTTGATTCACCTCCCATCTGGTCCCTTACCAATGGCCCATTGGGTTCATACTTCCGAAGCCGGGCAAAGATTCTGGTCATGTTGTCAGCTGTAGAAAGAAGGCACAGGTAAAAAGATAAATAACACAGAATAGCTGTTTCTTCCCCAGACTCCTAGCCCTTGTTTAGAAGACCTGGTCCAAAATCTACAGTAGTATAGAGTCCCTCGAGGGAGCCACATCTGAGTCCTTCAGGCCCATCTGTGGTGAAGAGCAAGATCTTGTCTCCCAGCAGTGAACGGAAAAGTCCAGCCAAGTGTCTCATGTATTTGAAATCGCAGGCCCTATAGCTACCATACTCATTCTCCACCTTCCAGGGAAAAAGAAAAAGGAGCCCAGCTATGAGGCAGAAAAGGTTAAGGACCCCCAGGTATATCTTTCCCCTTGCCCAATCAATTTCCCACTTGTACCTGAATGCTAATGATGTTGCCCCCATTGTGATAGAGGAATGGATATATCTTGGGCAGCAGGACCTTGAACCAGGAGTCCACTGCAGTAAGAAAGTCTAAAGGAAGACACAGAGGTCTACTCATTAGGGGCCACCACCACTGCTGTATCCCTGCCCCCAGCATCCTTGCTATTCCATGCTGCCCTTACTCGTGGCTACAGCTTCTATCATTTCTCCATAACTAAGTCTGAAACAGTGACTCTTAGAAAAAACTCTTAACCCTAAACACATGGAAATTTACATGGCAGTTGAATCAACATAGAAAAAACTCTTAACCCTAAACACATGGAAATTTACA